GTGCGCATACAGTGTATTGTTTGTTTCCAGAACCCCCTCAAGCAGACTTCAACTTTTTTTGTTAAATTGTATATTTTGCTTCATACACTGCATGTGTGTGTGTTTGTGGGAACACTCATGTTTGGATGCTTGGCATAGGTTAATGGTAATTTCATTGGAGTCATCAGGGATATAGTTGTATATTCCTGAAATTACCTCTAAACACCTAAAACAGCATTCCCTAAAATTTTAATTGTTTTCTTACATTAATGCCCTACATCGCTCAAACTCGCATTGCTTAAATTGCAGATTAATTGCTTAAATCACCTAAAATTGCTTAAACTCGCATTATCTCGTTATCGCCCCAGAGTAGGGCCTACTGTTGCCATTGCTTTTTAGTCCCCAATACTTCAGTGAGTCATGCTTTGGAAATGACAATATTTTTTTATTACCCAACCCTTGAGTTGTTTTGTTTTTCATTTACCCAACCTTTTACTCACTCAAAATTTAGTTTACCCAACCCTTTTCTCTTCGGTGCCACCCTCCACCATAAATAATGACCGGTCCCTTAGCTAGGCGGTTAAAGCTGGGGGCATGCTCCCAGGAAATTTTTTTAATTTGGGTCCCTGAAATAGCATTTCCTGCATTCTGAGAACACATTTTAAAAAAGATCTCAGCCTCTCAAAACAAAGTTTTATTGGTGAGAGTTGTAATAAATTGCATACTAAACATTCCAACAAAACATAAGTTTAAGTATGCTCACCAACAAATTTTGTTTTTTAAACTTCTTTTCAATGTTAAACTCATTTACTCAAGGCCGGTCCTAAGGCCTATAGCCGGCCATTTTTTTTCTTCAGTGGTGGGGCAGAGGAAGGGGCCCAGTGGGGCAAATGCCCCACCAGTCCATGGTATTAAAAAATGCCTTGTACTACATATATTTGAGCCCGTTGATCAACAAAAGTGGGGTTTTTTTTAATTTAAAAAAAAATCCTGAGCGGGGCCTTTTTTGTGGGCGGACGGGGACGCTAACCAACTATTTGTTTTTATGTTTGCCTGTTGTTTTCCTTGTACAATATTTATAATGTAGTGCGGATGTCTGATGAAATACTACGCTTTTTGCATTGTAGTTATACTTTAATTTACAATGTAAATGCAATAAGCGTAATATTTCATCAGACATCTGCACTACATTATTGACAAAATATTAAATTATTGCATTATAAAATTATATTATTGCATGACAAAATATTACATTATGGCACTATATTAGCTGCACTACAGTACTGACAAAATAAAAACAAGACAAACAATTAAATGAAACTACTACTAATTTAGGACCGGCCCTGTTTACTTTATAGCTCTACGCGTAGCGGTAGCTGGGCTATATGTAGTCTGTACAACAGTACAAGATTCGCTTGTCACGACACCGAATTTTATAGTTTCAGAATACCCCGAATACATGAAAATTGTGATGACACGACACATTTAATAAAACAAAGATTGTGAGGCGGATAAAATTTGTATGCAAGCATTGCTCCTAAACCTTGCCGGCAAGTGTTGGTGTCAATTCCGTATATTTCCTGTCCAGCGTAAACAGGTTACACGAGGTTTTACATTTGTGTTTATTTATATCGAACTAAGAATATTGCTATATAAAAGCATATTTAAACTATAGCCATATTGTTCAAGACGAGAGAAAGCAAATTTCGTGTAATTCACCACTTGGAGACTTTTGCCTTTGGCTTTGCCTGTCACTGTAGTTAGAAAATCTCAAGAAATATCGGTATTGCTTAGAAAACATCGACGGTCGCTTCAGATATTTCAGCTGATTCATGCCAAACTTCGCTACACATAAATAATATCGATTGAGAAGTCTTTTGGCTGTTTATTTGTTTCGAATACTTGTATATTTCAGCTAAGAATATCTGGCCACTCCTTGACGAGTAGCTGCCAAATATATCCATATCTTGTAGTCACGTGACCGGCCCAGACCAGGGCTTTCTCGTCTCGCCTCTCGTCCTCACAAAAAAGCCCTGGGAACGAGGTTGACCTATGCGTTGTAAATGATTCTCATTGTTATTTGCTATTTTCTCAAGGCAAACCAGGATTCAAGAGGGATGAAGTCATATGATTAAAACTCCCGACAGCCAATACAAATAAATTGATGCCTAGTATTCCCTTGGCATTTCCCTCTTGTTAAAAAGGGTGTATTGGAGAAGGCTCGATCTGGATGAAATGTCTTCGGCGGAGAAGAAATCATATAGAACAATGGAGTACACAGGCATGAAGGAAACAAAAATAATGTTAGACTTGAGGTTCTGCCAAATGAATTCATGCCTAGGATTTCCTTCGCGTTTTTCCTCTTGTGAAAAAGGGTGTATTGGAAAAGGCTCGTTCTGGATAAAATATCTTCGGCGGAGAAGAAACCATATAGAACAATGGAGTACACCGGAACAACGCGAAGGAAACAAAAATAATGTTAGACTTGACGTTCTGCCGAGACTTGAACTCGGATTCTTGGATTCAGAGTCCAAAGTGCTAACCATTACACCACAGAACCATTCAATTTTCGACGTTTCATTAATGAACATCTCCACTCCAGATTAACGTTCGCTGGTTTTTTAAAGACTTCTGGAAACTTATTTTTGAAGAAATCTTGTTACGCATCTAATATGGTAGCGTGGCCGAATGGTCTATGGGGCTGGTTTTAGGCACCAGCCATTTCGATGACGTGGGTTCGAAATCCACCAGTTCCGACTTCGCGATTCGAAATCGAATATCTTAATCTTTTATTTCATTACATGTTTCCAAACAATGGTTAGCGAAAGATGCCTTAAAACTTGCTGCTGGAGGGGAACGAAACCCGACATTGGCATATACTTCAGTACTACTTATTAGTACGACGTACTAACCGACTGGGCCACGGTAGCAAGTCATGTTAACGATGTTATTTTTCTCGAAACTTATTGCCTCGGAATGAAGCAGATTTGGGCATAATAATAATAGCAGGAAATGGTCACCAGCCATTGACCTCAGGGTCATGGGGCCAGCATGCTTCCACTGCACCACCCTGCTCCACCTGGTAAATTACCCAGTTGTGTACATTCCTTATCGGTATCAATTCTGCAACAAATATATCTTATTTTTCGTGAAATCGTAATTAATTATATAAGTTGCCGGTGACATGCGCGGTGTGAAACAAAAAGTGGTAAATAAGTTTCCTCTTTGCCTCTTTGTTCGATAGCATTTATAGCAGCTATACTTTAGCAATACCTGTAATTGGGTCATGCCAATAAAGTCATTATTATTATAATGCCAAACTATCACAGATACGTATGCGTTGTAAATGATTGTCATTGTTATTTGCCATTTTCTCAAGGGAAAATAGGATTCAAGAGGGCTTAATCCACATAATTAAAATTCCCGACAGCCAATACAAATGAGTTGACGCTTAGGATTTCTTTGGCATTTCCTTCTTGTGAAAAAGGGTGTACTGGAGAAGGCTCGATCCGGATGAAATATCTTCGGCGGAGAAGAAACCATATGGAACAATGGAGCGCGCCGGAGCAACGTGAAAAAAACAAAAATAATGTTAGACTTGAGGTTCTGCCGAGACTTGAACTCGGATCCTGTGATTCAGGGTGCAAAGTGCTAACAATTACACCACAGAACCATTCGATTTTCGACGCATGGCTAGAAATCCAATACAGTATGCGGTTTGACCTGCAGGCTCAAATTGACATAAATTGCGGATTTGCATAAATTAATTACTTGGTATTAAACATTGCGGTTCATTTCTACAAGGAGTTGAACGAGTTAAAGAGTCTTGTTCTCTGCAGCACAGCTGATTTTTATAGCGAGAACAAGACTAAACGCGGCAAATATATTGTGAATATCTAAAGCCAAAAGGTCAAAACTATATCCTGCGTACACTGAGCTTCATTAGCATATGCGAATGAAGGGCTTGCAATTGCTAATTTTCATTGCAAATAGCAATCTAATAGCGGAATATCATACATGTTTAATACAACAACTCGGCGTAAACACTGTAAAAATATATAAGAAACAATTTATATGTAAAATCCCTCTTTATTGACCTTTATTGATGAATTTCGTAAATTTCGAAATTTGATTCCCAACAGAAAGTGTATCATTTACCAAGCCAAATTTCAAATTTTACCGCTTATTTGCGCTTTTATTTCTGCATCCACGATCAAATAAACGTTGCAGCGGTAAATACCATGAAAAACCATAACAACAGTTCTAAAGTGGCGACAAGAAAGCACCGTATTGCTTCGATTTTCATGTCGTGTTCAGTGTTTATGTCGGCGCTTGATCGATCGATTGACAACGACTCTGCGGCACTTAAATCGCACTTTTTTATGGCGTTTGGGAACCTACTTAAAGACGAAGATACGTCCCAAAAGGCTTCGCAAAACAAAGAATAAATATTCTCGAGTGTATTTAGACGTGCACATTACAGCCAAACCAACTGATTATTGCCAAAATAAAGGCTTACTTTGGCCAACTTTGGCCAATTATTGGGATTTAATAGACACTTGTATGGGGAATAAGAGGTTAGAAGCTATTGAGCTAGGGAACTCATTTAGCCTTGTCAATTTGTCGCGATATTTGTTCTAGTTATTATTTGTGTTATATACTAACGTTTTAGACGTGCACATGTGAGAATTTGTAAGGTTATAAAATAAAAAAACAGAAATATAGTTTTTCCTCTATCAATTCTATACATTGCCGCCATTTTGAATTTATTTAATTTGCGCTCTGCGCGCATGCTTTTCCGTCATACTGTATTGGATTTCTAACCATGTTTCATTACTGTACTTCTCCACTCGAGAATAACGTTCGCGGGTTATTTGAAGACTTCTGGAAACTTATTGTTGATGAAATGTCGTTACGCATCCCATATGGTAGGGTGGCCGAGTGGTGTAAGGCGCTGGTTTTTGGCACCAGTCCTTTCGATGACGTGGGTTCGAATACCACAGCTGCCAGTTGTTGGAAATCGAATATTTTAACCTAATGTTTCCAAATAATGGTTAGGGACAGATGACTAAAACTTGCTCCCGGATAGGGTCGAACCCTCGACCTTCGCTTATACTTCAGAACTGCTTATAAATACCACGCACTAACCGACTGGGCCACGGGAGCAAGTCATGTTAACGGTATTATTATTTTCGAAACTTTTGTTTCGGAATGAAGCGGACTTGGACATACTAATAATAGCAGGAAATGGTCTCGATCCATTAACCTCTGGGTTATTGGCCCAGCACTCTTCCACTGCGCCACCCTGCTGCAGCGGGTAAATTAACCAGTTGTTGTATTTATTCCATATCGCTATACAGGGTGTCCCAAAAAAAACGAAAACTATTGAAATCACTTATTGTTAAATTTGAATGCCCTACTTTGCAGCTGGACGTAATGATGCGTAAAATATTGACAAGGTGCATGTTTTAGAATTTAGTTAGGAGTATCTCCTGGTAAAGTGCGCGATTTTCTGCTCCTGGGAATTAAAAACAGCTTCTTAAACAGTTTCTTTATGCATAAAATTTACTTATGTCAATCATTAATGCACTCGTGAGAACCAACAGAGCGCTAAGGCATTCAAATTCTAACAATTGAATTGTTATTGGTGATTTCAATAGTTTTCGGGTTTTTTGGGACACCCTGTACATTTTCGAACAAATATATCTTTTTTTCCTGAAATTGTAATTAATTATTTAAGTTGTCGGCGACATGCGCAGAGTGAAACAAAAAGTGGTAAGTTTGCTCTCTGCCAAACTATCGCAGATACGTATGCGTTGTAAATGATTCTCATTGTTATTAGCTATTTTCTCAAGGTAAACCAGGATTCAAGAGAGATGAAGCCATATGATTAAAACTCCCGACGGCCAATACCAATGAATTGATGCCTAGGATTTCCTTGGCATTTCCCTCTTGTTAAAAAGGGTGAATTGGAGAAGGCTCGATCCGGATGAAATGTCTTCGTCGGAGAAGAAACCATATAGAACAATGGAGTACACCGGAATGAAGGAAACAAAAATAATGTTAAACTTGAAGTTCTGCCAAATGAATTCATGCCTAGGATTTCCTTCGCGTTTCCCTCTTGTGAAAAATGTTGTATTGGAGAAGGCTCGTTCGGGGTGAAATATCCTCGGCGGAGAAGAAACCATATAGAACAATGCAGTACACCGGTACAACGTTAAGGGAACCAAAATAATGTTAGACTTGAAGTTCTGTCGAGATTTGAACTCAGATCCTTGGATTCAGAGTCTAAAGCGCTAACCATTACACCACAGAACCATTCAATTTTCGACGTTTCATTAATGAACATCTCCACTCCAGATTAACGTTCGCGGGTTACTTGAAGACTTCTGGAAAGTTATTGTTGAAGAAATCTCGTTACGCATCCCATATGGTAGCGTGGCCGAGTGGTCTAAGGCGCTGGTTTTAGGCACCAGTCAATTCGATGAAGTGGGTTCGAATCCCACCGCTGCCAGTTGTTATTTTCTGAACTCCAGATTCGTAATCGAATATTTTAATCAATTGTGCCTAGGATTTCCTTGGCATTTCCCTCTTGTGAAAAAGGGTATATTGGAGAAGGTTCGTTCCGGATGAGATATCTTCGGCGGAGAAAAAAACACATAGAACAGTGGATTACACCGTAACAACGTGAAGGAAACAAAAACAATGTTAAACATGAGGTTCTGCGGAGACTTGAACTCGAATCCTTGGATTCAGAGTCCAAATTGCTAACAATGGTTTCCGATTTTGGACGTTTCATTAATAAACTTTTCCACTCCAGATTAACGTTCGCGGGATACTTGAAGACTTCTGGAAACTTATTGTTGAAGAAATGTCGTTACGCATCTGATATGGTAGCGTGGCCGAGTGGTCTAAAGCGCTGGTTTTAGACACCAGTCATTTCGATGACGTGTCTTCGAATCGAATCCCACCGCTGCCAGGTGTTATTTTCGGAATTCCAGATTTGACAACGAATATTTTAACATGTTTCCAAATGATGGTTAGGGAAAGACGGCTAAAAACTTGCTCCCGGAGGGGATCGAACCCTCGATCTTCGCGTATACTTCAGTACTGCTTATAAGTACGACGCACTAACCGACTGGGCCACGCGAGCATGTCATGTCAACGGTGTTATTTTTTTCTAAACTTATTGTTTCGGAATGAGGCAGATTTGGGCATAATAATAATAGCAGGAAATGGTCTCGATCCATTAACCTCTGGGTTATGGGCCCAGCACGCTTCCACTGCGCCACCCTGCTCCATCCGGTAAATTAACCAGTTGTGTATATTCCATATCGCTATAAATTCTGGAACAAATATATCTTATTTTTCGTGAAATTGTAATTAATTATTTAAGTTGTCGGCTACATGCGCAGAGTGAAAGAAAAAGTACTAACTTTGCTCTCTGCCAAGCTATCGCAGATACGTATGTGTTGTAAATGATTCTCACTGTCATTTGCCATATGTCAAGGTAAACCAGGATAAAAGAGGGATGAAGCCATATGATTAAAATTCACGACAGCCAATACAAATGAATTGATGCCTGGGATTTCCTTGGCACTTCCCTCTTGTGAAAAATGGTGTATTGGAGAAGGCTCGTTCCGGATGAACAAGTCCAACATAGTAGAGTTCTTGGCGTTGAAATTGACGAAAATCTGTCTTGGAGCAAACACATTGAAAACGTAGCTAAAAGGGTTACGTCTGGGATTGGAGCTATGCAAAGAATCCGTGATTTTGTTGGCAGAGAAACTCTGTCTTCTATTTATAATGCTTCAATAGGTCCTCATTTTGACTAGTGTAGTGAGGTATGGGATGCACTTGATGTGAGGCTGTCCAGCAGTCTTCAAAAACTACAGAATTGTGCTGCAAGAATAATAATGAATTTGAGGTACAATACACCTGGTATAGAAGCAATAAACTCTCTAGCGTGGGAGCCTCTTGAAACTCGACGAGCCAAATTTAAAGCTAAACAAATATACAAAGTTCAAAATGATTTGGCTCCAAGTTCACTCGCTACTCTCTTCGTACGCAAAAGAAACATAACAGAATATGATCTTAGGGGCTCCTCTACCTCATTACAACTACCTTTGCCGAAAACTGTAAACCTTAAGAAATGCTTCTGTTATGATGGAGCTAAATTGTGTAACTCAGCGTGATTCAGATACATTACCAACATTCATAAATGCAATTGACGCTTATAATTTCTAATATTAATTATTTTATTAGTTTTGCACATAATTGTTTTGTAGTTAATTAATGTAGTTTAGTATGTGTAATAGTTTGTCATATAATCTCATGTAATCCACACGCCCCTCGTGGAAATCAGCATATATTTGACGGGGCCAGCGTATGATCTTTTAAATAAAGTTTTACCTACCTACCTACACCGAAACAACCAACCCCGTACCCAGGGCTAGTCGCGAATTGAAGGCGGCGACATAGCCCTGGTAAACGCCGGTCACGTGACTCCAACATTACGTAATTGTTACTATTTTCAACCGGGGGTGAATAGGTGAAACTCGAAGACAAACAGTTTTTATCTCCGAAATTCTTCAATCTTCTTTGTGAATTTTGCACTTGAAGCTTCTCTCAAAGTACGGCGATCGATCAAATGGATCAATACTTTCTGTAGAAAAAACTCAGTGATATTTGTTCGTATGAGACGTTTAAAAGACACGGATATGTCGCCAAAGACGCTCGATCATTGCACAGTTTTATGGAATAGTACTTTGTTCAGTTTGTTGTGAATTGCGAAGCAAATGAATGCAAATTCAACTCTTGTATAATGAATAAAAGTTGGTTTGTAGAGGGACAACTTCTACAAAAGATATGAAAACATTAGCTTCAAACTAGGGACAAGTTCATGGACAATGGACTTCCCTAATATATGGACATTGATATTTCACCAATATGTAAATATGACTATTAAATATATAAAAGGATTGCTGTTGTATTACTTGTATATGTATATGTACAAGTGTTGTGCTGTGGTATTTACGTTGTGTGCATCGGCATCCTTTGATCTTTGCACTTTTTCTGAGGGATAAGGCAAAAATTTCTTAATTTCTGGGGGGGGGGTGTCAGCACTTTGATCTTTTTTTCTTAGGGGTTCAAATTTTATTGAACTCGTCCATAGGGGGGTGTATACATTAAATGGAATGGCCAAATGCATCCAGATGTTCCCTACTTTGTTAGTTTACTCTGTCTAACACCAGACAATTTTACTTGTCAGGGGACAGTGCATAGCGCCACTCAATGGGTTAACATAGTCAATGAACATGCCAAATGATCCTTGACCGTGGTAGTACATTTTTGCACTTGCTGGATGATATTGCAACCAAGCATTGTTTCAGAGGAAGAGCACTGAGATCATGCTGTGTAGCAATTGGAATCTTGCATAGAGCCTGCTCTCACATAAAGCAGGCAAGACCTTCACTCAGAAGCCAGTCCTGATTAATATTAATTCCCCACATAAACACGTGAAAACCAGACTGTCCCATCTGCCATATGCAGGACAAAAAAACATGCAGCCTGGACTTTAACTGTTAAACAACCAAATCAGCATGATAAACAGTGTGATGATTTTGGCTTAGCCCAAACCAAAGCCAGTTTTCTAGAAATAATTTGCAGAATCCTAAGAATTGGACCTCCAACTTGAAGAGCTAGCTGTGCTAACCAAGTTGCATGGGCAACCCTGAATTGACGTGACTAGAGCAAACCTTCAAAAAATAATAGAGAGATCAGATTTGACTTCCACTGCTGCTATTGCTACCATTTACTAGATAAGTTGCATTTATCCAATCAAACAATCGGATGCAACTGCCAGATCAAGTAGTGGTAGTGGAAGTCAAATTTGAACCTTTCTATATGGATTTCAGAGAGACCAGTCATTATTTGCTGATATATTATTATAACTTGTTTAATCAAAAGCTACTATATATTCATTTATGATATTAAAAAATGATATAATTTTATCTATAAAGTGGGAATAATTTTAAAAAAATATTCATAACATAAAATGATTCATGCATGCTGGTGATTGAATAAACCATGAAGTGTGCATTCTAAATCTCTACAAGTTCCTTGACATTATTTTTCAAGTACAGTGTAAAACTATATATATATATATAAATGTGACACAGGTTGCAGGTATTAGGTTGCATGTCTACCAGTGTGCTGAAATACCATCCAGTGACCCGGTCTTGTTCATTGTTACTTGCATCTTGCTTAATTCAACTGTTTTGCCCCATTTCTTGTACCCATAAAGTTCTTTTCAATAATCTAGAAAACTTCAAAATCATTCAGTAAATTTAATTTTAAAATTGGGTGAAAGGTAAGGGGTCAATAATAGATGGAGAAATCATTTTTTATTGTTCATACATATGGCCCCCATCTCTGTCAGGTATTAGAGTAGAAATTTATTGAAGCCTGAAGTCAGAAAATAAATATGGCAACAAGGTTACACGCCATACTGCAGAGTAAGGCAATTTTTTTAAAGATCTCAAGGGCACAAAAGGTATAAATATAGATTGTAGGGGCAAAGGAACAAAATAATGAAATTTTGAGATTCGGGGGCAGGTTTTAATTACAATGGGGTGCTAAAACTTTTCCCTAAAAAATCCCTGACCAGCTGTAGTGCTGAAACTGATGTTTGGCTATTGAAATATCCTAGCAGGTTAGGTTCATCAGATTTTAGCTTTGTCAACCTGGCCACTCTGTTATTACAGTATTAAATGGCTCATTTAAATAATTTCAGGTCATTACTGTAAATGCAAATACAAAGTATTTGAAGTTAATACTACTGTAAAATGTAGTTTAATAATACTGTATTAAAGTGTAAACACGTTTCTCACAGCGATAAATCAATATTGTAAATAATAATCATGTGAGAGTAGAACTTTACTGAGAGTCCGAGTATAGTATTATAGGCCATAGTCTGGCCATGTGTTTCTCAAAATTCAGCTAACTATATTAACATACTGTATAAAATATATTACAGTAAATAGCCTTCGAAATATATATTTCATAGAGCTAGACAGTGTAACAAATAATGGGAATCTGCTAAATAATTTGTAACAATGAAATACTTCTAAACATTTTCAAATTCCTATATACTGTACCTTTTCATACTTGATGGAAATCATCACAAATAGTATGTACGAGATTGGCTCCATTTTCACTGCTTCGAAATTCGAAACATCGCCTCCTCGGCGATTTACGTGATGCGATATAAAAGAAGATTGATGTACATTCGACGTAATATATAAACGTAACATATTAAGAAGAAAGATTAATATAAATAATCCGCGGCAAATCAAGTTCCATTCGTGAACTTTTCGTCGCCCCCCTGTCTTTATTTCCACAAAGCCCGCTCGCAGGCTAATACTCCAAGAATCTTGGAGTATTTGCCTGACACGTGACCAGCGTTTACCAGGGCTATGTCGCCGCCTTCAATTCGCGACTAGCCCTGGGTACGAGGTTGCGAAACAACGTGACGGAAAGAAGAATAATGTTAGACTTGAGGTTCTGCTGAGATTCAAAGTCCAAAGTGCTAACCATTACACCACAGAATCATTCCATTTTCGATGTTTCATTAGTGAACTTCTCTACACCAGATTAACGTTCGCGGATTAGTTGAAGACTTCTGGAAACTTATTTTTGAAGAAATGTCGTTACGTATCCCATATGGTAGCGTGGCCGAGTAGTCTAAGGCGCTGGTTCTAGGCACCTGTCATTTCGATGACGTGGGTTGCAATCCCACCGTTGCCAGTTGTTGAAATCGAATATTTTAACTTATTCTTTCTGAATATTTATATATTATGTTTGAATATGAATATATTACCTATTGAATATTTTAACTTATTGTATCGAAACTTCGACCTTCGCATATACTTCAGAACTGCTTATAAATACGACACACTAACCGACTGGGCCAAGGAAGCAAGTCATGTTAACTGTTTATTTTTTTCGATACTTATTGTTTCGGAATGAGGCAGATTTGGACATAATAATAATAGCAGGATATGGTCTCGATCCATTGACCTCTGGGTTAGTTGTCGGTGACATGCGCTGTGTGAAAGAAAAAGTGATAAGTTTGCTCTCTGCCAAACTATCGCAGATACGTATGCATTGTAAATGATTCTCATTGTTATTTGCCATTATGTCAAGGTAAACCAGGATTCAAAAGGGATGAAGCCATATGATTAATATTCCCGACCTCTCATTCAAATGAATTTATGCCTAGGATTTTCTTGGCATTTTCCTCTTGTGAAAAAGGGCGTATTGGAGAAGGCTCGTTCCGGATGAAATATATTCTGCGGAGAAGAACCCATATAGAACAGTGGAGTAAACCGGAATATCGTGAAGAAAACAAAAATAATGTTAGACTTGAGGTTCTGCTGAGATTTGAACTCGGATCCTTGTATTCAAAGTCCAAAGTGCTCAAATCTCAGCAGAACCTCAAGATTTTCGACGTTTCATTAATAAACTTCTCCACTCCAGATTAACGTTCGCGGGTTATTTGCTTGAAACTTGTTGTTGAAGAAATTTCGTTAGGGATCCCATATGGCAGCGTGGCCGAGTGGTCTAAGGCGTTGGTTTTAGGCACCATTGATTTCGATGACATGCGTTCGAATCCCAACGCTGCCAGTTGCAGTGGGATAACTCTTAGAGGATGTTGGGGGTTGCAATACGCTCCTAAGGTTGTAACATTGTAGTTTGGTTTGGCAATTTTGGCAATTTTAACGACATTCTCGTCGGGAAAAAATATGTAATTCAGCCAAACATTCAGTTGCAAATATTACAGAAAATTGTACAAATTTTGGTAATTTATTGGCAAATGGTAAGTCGGCAAATTCCCCCCCGCTCCCCCCCTCCGTGGCTAGGCCACAATTTTGGGAAAAGAAATATTAATTAACGACAGAAATGTCCGTCGGGCACGAGTTCCGGTACGCCCCTTTTGGTCGGGCAAAAGAGTCCCCCCCCCCAGCTTTAATACCCAAGTTACGCGCCAGTTGTTATTTCCAGATTCTAAATCGAAAATTTTAAAGTACAATTGCCATTTGCCATTTTCTCAAGGAAAACGATGCTTCAAGGGGGATGAAGGAATATGAAGAAAATTCACGAGAAGTAATCCAAATGAATTGATGCCTAGGTAACTTAAACTTAAGGACAAATATACAAAGACAGTTCACACTTAAACTTTTACAAATATAAAGATACTACAATATGATTCTGATTGACAAGATTGCCGTGCAGAAGACTGTTTCATAAGGAAAATAAGTTGTCAATTTCTCTTTTGAATTGACTAAGAGAGCATGTTGCTCGTACATTTTGAGGAACTTCATTCCACAACACAGCCCCATTGTAACATTGTAACTAAAACTTAGTGTGCGATAGCAGATTGATCTTAGCCGACCCACTGGAGCGGCGGAGAATCACTAATGCCGTACAGTTGCTCCCACACAACGGGGGACGGAATATGATTGTTTGAAACCAATAATAAATTACATTTTTATGTATAATAATTCTTATTTTTCACCCTGCTCGGTTTCCTTTGTTCTTGTCGGGGAATATATTCAATATTCCCCTTTAATCAATTTCCGTTTAATAATCCCCTCTAATATTCACCTGCAATTAATAATCCCCTCTAATATTCACCTGCAATGTCTTTGCAGCACAAAAAATGAGAAAAAACAACATCGCGAAGGCAATATGGCATTAAGAATTATTTCTTTTCTGACTCGTTAACGCGACCTCGCAGTGTGAAAAATAAGTACGTTATTTTGAGGCACCTCGGCGATATGTGTTTATTCACCTCGGCGCTGCGCGCCTCGGTGAATAAATCACATATCCCCTCGTTGCCTCAAAATAACCTATACATATAGTTGCTCTGCATCCGCCATCTTGGACTTGATATTTTTTTAATAATTTTAAAATAATTATTCGAAATACTGCTGCGTAACTGTACGGTATTAGCGTCGATTGATCGCAGACTGTTTCTCCTCCGCTCCGGGCGCGGGGGAGTCGGCTGAGATCAGTCTCCTATCGCAGACAAACTACAACTTCATTTACCATATAGTTCGATCGCGGTTTTGCCGACAAATAAAGTGTTTTCAGAGTCTCTCAAATTGTATCCTGTGCTGCGGGATTCAAACAATTCATCGAGATAATGCGGAGTTAATTCATTAATTGTTTTAAACATCAATATAGCTTTATGTGTTTAGCTTATGTGTTTTGAAGAGAATTTAAAATTATGGGAAATTAAACGTAAGGAATACGACATTACGAAGCTGGTAGCAATATAAAAGTTAACAAAATGAAGTACTGGCATTTGCCCTTTCATTACGCGGGCTCAGTGCACAAATCAATCACGTGCTTCTCTCTGTTATCTGCTTAATCCGCGTAAATATGTATCAACTGGCGTTATCTAACTGTTTACTGTTATACTGTTTTTGTTCTTTTTTATCATACTTGTAGAATAAACATTTTCTTGAGCGAAAGTGAATTACAAAGTAATTTAAATATATAGCAGCTAAATTATCTAGAATAAATATATATGCATGATTATTTTTTAAGTTCGGCGCGGCTTAATTACCACGGACAAATTACCAGTTGCCTATAAACTGGGACAATGCATACAGCTTGTGTTGACTAAATTGCACTATTGACACTTGATAAAAATTACAAGAAGATACTCTAATTGATCTTAATATATAATATGCTTATGGCTGTATGCATGCACCTCGGGGTAATCAATCTAGTTACATATTAGATCACCAAACATGCAACAGAAAATTCAAAATTTCTGATTAATGAATATTCATCCAATAGTGATGGAGTCAATAATTGTTTAAATTATTTTGAAGACATCATCCTAGAAGCAGGAATGAAAAGTCTTAAGATTAAGAAAGTAACCCGGCGTAGGAAGATTAGAAATACTACCAACAAAGAATGATTTGACAAAGAATGCAGATTTAAAAGACACGCAGTTCGGAAAATAGCAAACAAAAAACATAAAGATCCACAAAATCTGAACTTACGAAATAGCTATCATGAAGCTTTGAAAGATTACAAAAATACTCTTAGACTAAAGAAAGACGAGTTCTACCAACAAAAACTCAATGAGTTAGAATCAGCAGCTGAAATAAACCCCACAGTCATTCTGGAAAGTGCTAAAAACAG